GTAATTCAAAGTTCAACATTCAATGTCCCGGATTCATTTATCACCAAATGACAAATAGTGAACTAACGCGATCTCTTGGTAAGTCACCCGGTTCAGCGTTACAAACATAACTAAATTACTTCGTTCGATATCAATACTACGCCGCGATAAGAATTCAAAATACGCCTCGTTGACACGCAAAACTAACAAAACAGTCAACATATAAAAAAGGGCACTTAACGCGACGGCACAATTACTTTCAAAGAAGTTACTTTAATCAGTTAAACACGATACAAGCCTCTTGTCAAGAACTTAAACCCTAGACAACCTAAAACGAGGCGATTTTCACGAAACACAATTACGTAGCGAAGTCACGCGCACAATTTCCAAACGTCTAGACCTTAATCCAAAAAAACCCGGTCTCGCGAAACCTCAGCGGCGGGCATCGAAAGACACCAATTAACTGCCTCGCTGCCGTCGAGCTACTAACCTCTCGCCCACGAGCGTTACACGCTGGAAAACTGCCTACCGCTGCCCCTTCCCCGCGATGCGCGTGACACCTGATGCCATCGAGCGATTCACGAAGTCAAACGTGATTGGATGTCGTACAAGTTACCCTTTTTGGGCTTAAACAGTAGCATTGCCCCAAAAATGGTTTTGAAAATAAAAGAAATACTTTTACAAATAAAAAAGAACACAAGTTGCACTCTAAAATGTTGCAAAGTGTATTGGGACTCCTAAACTTTGCAAACCTTACAGTCCTAAAAGGCCGTTTGCATTGTCGGAGACTGCAGAGATTTTTCAAAAGATTTTCTCGAGATAGAGTGAGAAAGAAAAGAGTCTTACCACCTCTAGCTGTAAGAGAGTTAGAATGGTGGCTCAATTCCATAGGGACATACACAACTTCACTAAAAAAAGGTCCGATAACACATTTTCTCACCACAGATGCAGCAGATGCATATGATGAAGCTTACTTGAATGGGTCTTCACCTGTCAGGTCAGTGGACTCAGAAACAAAAGAAATGGCACTCAAACGTCAAAGAGATGTTTGTAGTTTTTGGCATTATTGAACATTATCAAGACATTCTAAAAAATGCCCACATTCTTGGTCAGACAGACAACCAGACAGTGGCATACATAAGAAATGAAGGGGAACAAGATTAATAGCACTTTTGGATTTAACAACAAAATTGCTAGCACTGATCGATCAGCTCAATGTGACGCTGTCGACCTGTTAACCTTCCAGGAAGGTTGAACGGAATAGCAGATCGGTTGTCAAGAGGTCGGCCCCTACTAGAGTGGCACCTACTGCGCCAGGCCTTGGAGGCCATATTCCATCAGTAGGGTACACCCAATATAGATTTGATTGCACAAAAAAGAAGCACCGTAGTTCCAAGATACGTTACATTATACTCAAAAGATGGCTGCGCAAAGTACTACGACTCCTTCAATCGCCAATGGGACTGGAAACTAGGTTCGGTATTCCCTCCACCAAATCTCGTCTCGCGGTTGTCAGCACACCTCAACAAGGCAAAAGGGATTTACATAATAATAGCTCCTCAATGGAGGCAATGCTGTTGGCTTTCAGATCTACAAGCAAGAGCATTAACAGATACATTGCCAATACCAAATTTGGAAACAAACCTGATAGACTTGACCACGAATCTACATCCACAAATAAAGGAGCTCACAAAGAGATTTATTAACCACTAACTGGAAAAATTCCACATTAGTAACATATGGTCCAGCAATCAAAAGGTGGACTACACGGTGTAAAACCAACAAAATAAACCCTAGGTCTCCTAGTGGAAATGATGTAGCTCAATTTTCGCTAGATTATACTTAGGCGAAAACTTTGCATATAGCACCATCCTTCTACATAACTCATCTATTTCAACTTATTGTGCTGACATTGAAAAAATTTCGTCAAATTTCTTTGTCCACCAAATATGTGGCTAAACCAAAACCTAAAAAATCACCAATTTGGAATATTAAACTGCTTTTTAACTGGTTGAAGGGGACTCCTAGAACAAATTCATTTTTTGACATTTCAAGACGCTCCGGGTTGCAGAAGACGCTTCGTTACGGGCTCTTCTGCAACCCTGTGTAGTGAAATTGGTAATAACAAATAACTCACTGTTCCCTGTTACAACGTTTATTCCCTTTATAAGTCAGCTCCACAATTCACAATTCACAATATACACAGATTACAGTTTACTGTTTATAATAATAACAGTTCAGAGGATTGAGAATAACCCGTTAAAGAAGATACAGATTTTTGACCAAATACAAACACTTTTAAAGTTCACACTAACAGTACATTTACTACCACACTATAGTTTATAACAACACACAATATATAAACAGTAGGCTAATGGAATTTTTATAATAATTTAGATTTTAATACTAATTTAGATACTAGATTCTATATAAGGAAAAACAACATGAATGACGCACAGTTGACAGTTCAAAACTATGTTTTTAATTTTTGACATATATTATGTGGCTATCATGACATCATTGTAACTGTGACACGGACGATAGTAATCTGGGAATCTCACACTTCGTCCTGAACGTGTGTTTTTTAATTTTTGTATCTTCTTTACTTTCAGGCGGCTGCATTATGACAGGACCTTGGAGTTCAGTGTTTTCATGAATTGTATAGGCTGGTTTTAGCTGATTTATGGAAACTGTGACTTCATTGTCTCTAATTAGAAGTGTATAAACTTTATCAATTCTTTGTATGACTTTGTATGGCCCTGTATAAGATGGTTGAAATGCTACGCGATTTTGTTTCATCTTTCAGGTACACGTGCGTAGCTGTTGGCAAGTCTTTGAAAACAAAGGTCTTGTATTTACTGTGCCGTGACGCTGGCAATGGACGTATATTCTCCATGTTAGCACGTAGGCATACAGTGAAATCCGTCACATCAATGGTTGTTGTCAAGGAAGGATAAAAGAATTCTCCCGGTAGTCTTAACGGTTCACCATAAACTAAGTCAGCCAGCGATGCTTGTAGATCTTCCTTTAAAACACTTCTCATACCTGATAGTACTAGTCGCAAACTTTCAGTCCAGTTTTGGTTGCTGTGACAAGTTATGGCCGATTTTAACTGCCTGTGCATTCTTTCCACAATTCCGTTACATTCAGGGTGATAAACAGTTGTTTTCTTGTCTTGGAAACCTATTGAATCTGAAAGATATTTGAACAACGATGATTCAAACTGCTTTCCCCGATCAGTTATTATTTCTGCAGGACATCCAAATCGCGAAATCCAACCAAGTAGTAGGGCCTTTGCAACGGATTCCGCAGTAATGTCTATTAAAGGGATTGCTTCTGGCCACCGTGTGAATTTATCTACCGCTGTCAGACAGTACCAAAAACCTTCTTATGGTGGAAGAGGTCCAATTATGTCTATGTGAATGTATTGGAACCGGGTACGTGGTAATTCGAATTGTACGTGGAATTCGTTCGTGGTAATTCACCTGGGTGACTCAGTGAATGCAGTGTTGCATAAATTTGCCGTCGAAGTTTCTGGGGCACATAAGGGTGTGTTACTTGCATTTTATTGTCGCAGTATAACTCTGCTAGCGTACCCGGTATTTTAAGCTTGATTAGTTGAAGCGATGTTTCACCATTTATTAATTCATTCAACTCAGGATCTTGTGACTGCGCTTTTGCGAATGTGCTTAAGTCGACGGGCTTACATAATTCTTCTATTCGTGAAAGAATATCAGCTACAACATTTTCTTTCTTAGAAATATGTTATATGTTCATTGTAAATTGGGATATGTAATCTAAATAGCGAAATTTCCGTGGTGAACATTTTTCTTTTCGACGTTGAAATACGTAGCATATTGGCTTATGATCAGTAAATATGGTGAAATGTCGCCTCGAGCATATGCCGAAAATATTTTATATTTTCATAGATAACTAATAATTCTGTACCGTATGGAGAATATTTTCACTGTGAAGGACTCAATTTGCGAGAAAAGAAGGACAGACTGCCAATCACCATCTTTAAATTGCCACAGAACTCCTCCAATGGCTATATCTGAAGAGTCTGTCACTACTTCCAGTTTTGAATTTAAATCAGGGTAGGCCAAGGCGTTGCATAATTCTTTTTTGCATTTTTCAAACGCTATTATTGCGTCACCTGTAATATTTACTGGATGTGAACCCTTTACTGCCCCGGTTAGGAGTGAATTTAATGGAGTTTAATTTCTGCTGCTCCTGGGACAAATCTGCGATAGAAATTTAACATTCCTAGGAATCTTCTCAATTCTTTCACGTTCTTTGGCACTGGAAAATCTTTGATGGCTTGTACCTGTGAGGTCAAGGGTTTGACGCCTTCGAGTGAAACGGTGTAGTCTAAGAAGGTTACAGTGGAGGCTCCGAATATACATTTGGACGTGTTTATTGATATTCCATAGTCTTACAATTTTGTGAAAACTTGATGGAGATGTTTAAAGTGTGTGTTATCTTTATCTTATCTTTTTTCAAAAACGTTATCCCCATACTAGGATTTTCTCCTGTGTCGTGGAGGCAGTTTACAAACATAAATTGCACAAGGACAAACATCCAGACCCGGAACAATTATTTGTAGGCCATACAAATACTTGTTCCATGCGAGATTCGAACCCGAGGCCCCCAGCGCAACAACTGATTGCTACGCCACTGTGCCACGGAGCCGTCAAATGTGTGTCCATTTTTTGAAAAAATTAAAACATCGTCCAAATAAGAGTAGCAAAAATAGAGTCCTCTCGTCGCTTCGTCCATGAATCTTTGGAACGTTTGGCTTGCATTCCTCAGGCCAAACGTCATATACGGGAACTCATACAGTCCGAAGTTTTTGAAATATCTTCTGGATTTACCGGTATGTGATTGTATGCTTTAATTAAATCAATGGTTGAAAATATTTTGCATCCTGATATATTGTACGTAAAATCTTGAATATTACGTATAGTATACCTATCAGGCATCGTGCGTGCATTTAATAGCCGGTAATCGCCACATGGTCTTCACCCGTTATCTTTTTTAGGTGCCAGATGTAGTACAGATGACCATGAACTTTCTGAAGGTCTTGCTGGTCCATTTTTAAGCATAGCTTCAAATTCTTCCTTCGCTATTTTCAACTTGTCAGGAGCCAATCGCCCTGGTGCACAAGAAACTAGAGGTCCTGGAGTTGTCCTAATATAATGGAGAGTATTATGATTAAGAACTTTATGCGTGCCTGAAGGTCGAGTTATATCAGAGAAGTTGCGCAAAAGAGTGTGATATTTAGATTCACCGGAAATCATTTTTACCGATGATATGGCGTTTGATGAAAGAGCTGATGTGGCGGAAGCTGATAAATTTGTACTGCTATCAATGAGACGTCGATTCCGGCAGTCAATAATTATGTGGTAGAATGATAAAAAATCCACACCTATAATGACTTGATTCAAATCAGCGACTACAAATCGCCAACTGAGATCTCGCCGAAGACTTAAGTCTAAATTAAAGTGTACGAACCCATAAGTAGATATCGGCGTTCCGTTGGCAGCAAAAAGTTCGTACGTCGTTTGCGGTCGTCTCTGCTTTGTTGTGCGGGGGAAAACGCATATGTCGCTACCTGTGTCGACTAAAAATTGCACTTTTGATCGTCAATCCGAAACAAACAGGCGATCGGATAAGCTAAGGAAATCGTCTGTCGCCATTAACGACCACCTTGAGAGTTTTCCTGTTTATAGTCGCATGGATTGAGGCATATTCTTGCTTTGTCACCATATATGTGATGATAAAAGCAAATTGGAATTTTTTTATAATTAGATTGGGACCGATGAGACCTGATGTTTTTGTGTTGGCTTCGACTGTAACGGTTCCATGAATGGGATCTACTCCTGCTGTCCCTAGCTGATAGAGCTTGAACTTGACGAGTGAGCTCAGCTATTTGTTGAGTCATTTTGTCTAGCACATGAACTGATATTGCGTTTGTTGACGCAACTTATGGCACAGTAGGTACGAGGTCGTGAACTTTGTCTACCAAATCTGCTAGTGCTTGCAGCGTTGAGTCTGGTTGTGGAGCTGTAGGTTATTTGGCAACCTTCTAGTCCAAATTGTTCGAATAAAGTCATGAGGAAAATTAGGACCTGCTAAATGTTGCAGATTCCTCTGAAATTGTGACGGGCAGCGATCACCAAGTTCCTCATGCATCAATAGTTGCTTTACTACCTTTTCTCTTGATGCTGACAATGTCTTTATCAGCTCGGTCTTTAATTTCTCGTATTTGCCTTTTGCCGGTGGTGAAACGATAATGTCCTTCACTTCAGCTGCATACCGATGATCCAGTTGTGTGATGATATAAAAATATTTGGTGTCATTATTTTTTATTCCAGAAAGTGCAAAATTGCCTTCTATTTGGGCGAACCATACGCCTGGTTCTTATGGCCAAAATGGAGGCAGGCGTACTCCGACGCGACAAACGTCGGAAGGTGAAAATGAGCTACTTTCTCCTATTTTATCAGTGTCGTTGGTGTTTGCCATTGCTACTTATGAGCTTTTGGTGAAGTTTTTATCTAGCATCCAAACTTCCGGGGTCACCAATGTTGTGAAGTTGGTGATAACAAATAACTCACTGTTCCCTGTTACAATTTTTATTCCCTTTCTAAGTCAGCTCCACAATACACAATTCACAATATACACAGATTTCAGTTTACTGTTTATAATAATAATTTCAGAGGATTGAGAATAACCCGTTAAAGAAGATACAAATTTTTGACCAAATACAAACACTTTTAAAGTTCACACTAACAGTACATTTACTACCACACTATAGTTTATAACAACACACAATATATAAACAGAAGGTTAATGCAATTTTTTTAATAATTTAGATTTTAATACTAATTTAGATACTAGATTTTATACAAAGACATTTAAGTAGTGGTAATAATAGACCGGACATCATTAGCAAAATTGTCGTCTGTAACTTATGTCCTATAGGATATATCTCTGATTTTTGTCATTTAGTCTTAGTGACATCGTCAAAAAATCAAGACGCATTCGTTTCATATATTTAAAAAATATTTTTAAAGAAAAGGTTGTGCATTAAGATATTGTAAGTCACGATATGGAGCAAAAAATGAACGTGATTTCGGTTTATTATCGTAAATATAACATATATTTACTGGATAATCTTTAAATTTTATTATTTCTTGTAGATTCTTCTAGAACATTTATTTTCATTGTAATAGGCACCCCCTGTTATCCAGTAAACGTCACTATTTAGTTATCAATTTTAATCCTTTACAATATTTAAGGAGGTAAAACAATCGATAACTATACTGCGATATAAACGATACTGTACCCATACCAACAAAAATGAGTAGCATATACCAACTATGCTAAGTACCCTACTTTATGTGGAGCAAGGGTGGGAAATATTTTTTTAGGCATGCTGATGAGATTTTCTGTGTTGCTTATGAGCATGCTGAGTATACTTGCTATGTTGATGTTTAGCAATACAGCAAGTCTTCTGTTTTACATACCAGGCTTCATTGTCTGGTGGTTTACACCGGGCTTCATTGTCTGGTGGTTTTCAAGGACAAAGCCATTATAGATCCTCGCTTACAGTGATAGGGGATGGCAATAGATTTCTTACATTAAAAATAATTTATACTGTTAAAGATATTAGATGCAAGAAGTTGTAGGTTAAGCCTGAGTTAGAACATAAGGTAAAAACTTAGAATAACAATTTTTATTGATGTGGGTAGTGTCTTTAAGTACTGCAGCTGATAAAACGTGAAAATTCGTGGAACGACTTTTAAGTTCAGTGTTTTCCTAAAATATTTTAGATTTGAAGTGTATTTTGTAATAGAAACGAATTTAAAACATAGAGGCGTTCCCTTATTGGATTTGGCGTTTCTCGATGTGTCTTTAACGCCGACCGATTAGTCATATGCTATTATTATAGCAGCTAATGGACCAAGTGACGTCATGCCACCAAGGTGGTAACCAAAGCGTTTGCTGCTTGAATTGATTCTTAGTTATTGGAAATTAAATATTTTATTTCATGACACTAAAGGGGCGTAAAAAGTTAATATGATTTTTTTCGTGTGATGGAAGTCATGATAAATAGATTTATACAATAAAACAATCATGTATATTTCCTATTATTACATCGAAAAGAATTTCAAACTTAGTAATCTTCAACAACATTATCGATACTTTGATATCGAAACGGTAACATTCCTAAAACGAGGTTATATTTATTAGCGCCACCTACTGGGGAATAGCTAAAATGTTGTCTTAATAAATGCTTAGCGTTGTTTTGCTATTTTTAGCTAGAGGGTGCCACACGCGGACTAGCTCAAAGTTTTTGTATATAAATATTCCCAATGTCCGCTCTATAGTATACCTACATATTTAAATCTCTTTGATTTTATATAAGGGAAAACAACAGGAATGACGCACAGGGCAGTTGACAGTTCAAAAATATATTTTTAATTTTTGACATATATTATGTGGCTACGCCACAAGTGTGTCAGTCATTCGTGTTTGCTCCGATCACCTAGTGACTCATCATGTCCATACAAATGATTATAGACACTTTTCTGATAGAAAAAGACCTTTGCCTGACTACGTGCCGTTCCGTAAAGGTGTAGCTGATCAAAAAGTGTTGGATCTACGTAGTGAATTTCATTCTTTCCAAGACAAGATAATGGCATCAATTAAAGAGAAAGTTCATTGAAGATTTCGAAGACTTGAAAACAAACACGTCTTCACATAAACGCTGTGTTTTAGAAAAACATATAATAATAATATAACTGTTTTGCATTACAACAAAACATGTACATATTATGTGTTGAATAAAACACACAGCGTTGCAGTATAAAACTTGCTGGTGGTGAACACGCTATGACCATAGAGACACTTGACAGTGACAGCACGCAAGACAGGTGCCCTAGCTGGTGAGTGATTGGACGAAAGTGACAGACTATAGATAATCTGGTAAGGTCTTTATGCATTTAATTAGTTTAAAAGACGAGATTCACAGACAGCTTCTTCACCTAAACGCTGTGTGTTTTATTCAACACATAATACACTTTTTGTTGTAATGCAAAACAGTTATATTGCGAATATATTATTGGAAAGTAAAATAAAATCTATTTTTAACACAAATAGTTCCGGAAAATGAGCTTCAAAACTGTATTTATAACTTTTTAAACTCCCATGGAGAGGTGTTTACTATTATGTGTATTGAATATACGCGTGTGAAGCGTACGAGGCGCGTTTTGTAGCCACGTGAGCAGACTGAATGGAGCGATTGTGATTCAAAGGAAATAGTGCATAAAACTACAATTTGGTGAAAATACACGTCTATTTTCGGAAAACTTATTTTTATGTTAACTTATATATAGTAAATATGTATAGTAGTTAGGCCGGTAGACGATATTTTGTCTTTTCCTGTAGGTGGTGCGACAGGTTTCACTTTGAAGTGTACAAGTGTTTTTTTTCACTCTAAACAAAAATATATTGTAAATATGAGTAATTTTGGCACATAAACATAGATTATGTTAATGTAAATTCTTGACCACAAGGTTAGATATTAGATCCTAGCATCTCTATCAAACTTGGTTTCGACTAAACAAATATTTGTGTGAATATGACCTCAATAGGTCAAGTCATTAAGAAGTAACACAATCACTAACAGACTGACAGAATGATTATATTAATAGGTCTTTACCTATGAAATTGCCGTTCGGCAGTACTGGTCATTTCAAATCAAAATAATTTTTGTTTTGCTAAGAATCATCATCATCATTACAGCCTTTCATAAGTCCACTGCTGGACATAGGCCTCCCCCAAGGAATGCCACAAAGCACGGTCCTGAGCCACCTGCATCCATCGACTTCCTGCATGCCTTACCAGGTCGTCACTCCATCTCGTGGGGGGTCGCCCTACACTTCACCTACCGGTACGAGGCTGCCACTCGAGAACCTTTCTTCCCCATCGGTTGTCGGTTCTTCGAGCTATATGGCCGGCCCACTGCCACTTCAGCTTACTAATCCGTTGCGCTATGTCGGTTACTCTAGTTCTACTGCGGATATCCTCATTTCTAAGTTTATCACGCAGAGAAACTCCGAGCATAGCCCTCTCCATAGCTCGCTGAGCGACCTTGAGCTTCCTCATACGGCCAGCTGTGAAGGACCACGTCTCAGTTCCGTAAGTCATCACTGGCAGCACGCACTGGTTGTTTGCAAGAATACTAATTTCAAATTAATTTTGTTTTAAAAACATGGAAATCTTTTTTCAAAAT